CTGATACTGTGACACCCGGAAGAAGGGCAGCCCGTGGAATAAGTAAAGTGTTCAGTTTGAAATTCCAATCACCTGAAGACAAAATAGATGAGGACAACAATCCGAACACTGTAAATAGTGTGAATGATATTTACTAATGTTCTGAGATGTTCATAATGTCGTAGAAGCGTCTTTCTGTAATTATTATACGCCTTCGGATTCCAGTTGTTTATTTTTGTTTCTAATTTCTCTGTAGTATTTTTTGCTTTTTATTCACACTTATTTCTATAATTTGTTCAGCATTCTTCTGTGGAAGGTACATGTCCATTCGTTAAAGTCTTCTTATTCCATCTATCTGATACTAAGTAAAATATATTTTTTCTTATCATATATACCGATTCTAATGCATGAATAAAACGATAAAGATGACACTAATGCGAGGAAAGTTGGGTAATTTCGTACTGGTAGACATTCTTATTCCCAGAAACAATCGAACACCTTTATAGGCCAACCATTCGTTTATGCAAAGAATACTGCTGTCATATCTGTTCTACTCTTTTTCTGGTTCATTTAGAGATTCTTGATAAAATCCAAAGAATAATATGCAATGTTATCAGTCCTGTCCCAATATCTCCGGTTAAGTCACTTTCCCATCATGCAACTCGCCTGTAACTTTCTACATATATTTTCATTGTAATTATTTTATGAATTTTTCCGCTTCGTTTCTTTAATCTTAACAATTTAATCGTAAGTTCTATGCTATCAGTTATTTTCCCCTCGAACTTCTCGCATGTAGAGCTCCCTTTCGGTTTCTTGCTTTCCAGTCAAATTTGATCTTCAGAAATTTAAATTTAATGGCAATCGTTACATTCTGTCTTTTTAATTCCTATTCTTTTTCTCGTGTTATTTCACACTGAGCAACCACTTGCGACTCGATGGATTTATTGCTTTGCTTATAGTGAACTATTTAAAAAAAATATTAATATACTCATTGTGTAATTTGCTAGGCATTAGACAAGATTAATCTTATTATGGTGCATTACTGAGAAAAACACAAAACTAAAACTCTGAAGAATAACATTACTGTTAATTTAATTCTTGATTCCGCAAATCATTATCGTTCAGTGTTTTGTATGGATTAAGTATCTTTTTTATTAACAGTAAGGTTCATCCTATCCAAAGCCCTTGGGATACCCGAGGTAGAGGGTTACGTTAGGAGGGGAAGATAACTGCTAACCCTAGATTTGAACAGGTTAAGATTATAGTGATCGAGGAAAAATCCTCTTGGGAGTCGGTTCCACAGAGCAATGGTTCGTGAGAAGAAGCTGTTCGACTGGAACTTTCTTCTCACCGATAGACTACTGAGGTAATATTGTTGGTTTGCTACAATGTGAAAGGTATGGCGTGTCCTAGCCGGGAATATTTGAACTGGTTGAACCAAGAAGCCCGATATTTATTCTCGAGTTACGTAGTCGTCGTAAGTACCTACACGTACCACTCGCACGTAGATATGCTATGACATAATCAGAGCTTGATTGATTTATATTACATATACCTATGCATATTAACGCGCTTATTATTATGTTTCTGGGTTTACGGGCAGGGCTACAGGAGGCATGATGTGTGTTAAGTGCCTCATTTTCGTGAGGATCTATGAAACAGGCCTTCTTTCGTGGTTGGTTTCTTATACATCTCCTTCAATATGATTTATTCTACGCCTATATGTCCTAGACATAGGTGATTCAACTACGGGTTATCTTCTTGTTTCGCTACCACTGATATTCTGTTAAGGATGGATCTGCACCCGATGTTTTTCAGGTAAATTTGCTAATGCAAATTATCTATATTCTTCAAAATTTTCTACGGTCGTTTCGTCTAGAATTAGACTCGACGTGATGTACAAATACCGAAAATAAAACTTACTCGGCTGAAACTGTCCTGTAAGGCATTTAGTATTGTAGATGTTAGAATTACGTGTCCTTGTTGTCTTAGTCGTGGTGTAGTGAATACCGATGTATCCAAGCTGATCAATATCAGAGAAATGAGTTGGGTCTACACAGAGTGTTCTACTCTCCTGGATTTGTTCCAGAAGTAACTTTTGTGTATGTATATATATATATATATATATATATATATATATATATAGTGATAAAATATAGTTTTAAATCATGCTATGTTTAAAGTGCTCAATATTAGGGATAGAGCGTATATAAATACAAAAGTGGACATTGAAGTCAACACGCAAATGCGACGACATGCTTCATGCTGAAAGGCAATCGTCTGACAATTGCATTCAAGTATGAAACAGACTACCGCCTCTGGGTATTGATTCTAGTGTCTATTCTTATAGTGATTTTCTCAGCGCGGCTTAGATGTGCAACAAGGCTGAAAATATAAGACACGATGAGGATCGTGCTACTACTCAGTCGTAAATTATCTGGTGAGACAATCTTTCTAACCATTACACCACGTTCAGGTGCCCCATGTCTACTCTTAGGTTTATATATATATATATATATATATATATATATATATATATATATATATATATATATATATCATATGCATATTTTCGTAAGTGTAATATCGTAGATGACTTCTAGATCTCATATATAACCGTTTTTTTCGTTTGTTTCCGTGTTCATTGCTTGCTTTAATGGTCATATTTAGATATAATATGTTTCATTGATTTTTCAGACTTAGTAAAATAGTAGTTTAATTATATGCATATTCTTTTTCATAGGAATTTTACTACAAACACATAGAGTAATAATAACCATTTCTGGTACGTTATTTATCATACTGGGGAGATAATGATCAATGCATCAAGCGGTCAATATTTTTTTTTAAATAGATCCTGAACACTGCAGTTTTTTTCTCACTTTGGCATCCATTTTATCGCCAACACGATATATATCAGTATACTCGCTCCCTGTTCATATTAAATACACGTGCTGGTCAAAAATTAAACCGGTTTAACTTTCATTGCAATATCATTAAGAATAGAATCACAAAACCTACGGATACAAAGTCACTGTATTGCAAACCAGCTATTCATCATAATTTTTCTTCATCTTTCTCTTCTCAGTAGTAATGTCTGTTCATCATTCAATACAAAAGAATTTCGTAGAAAGAGACAACTCCTACCAAACTGAATACAAACTCTAGTTCCAATCCTCTAGTAGAGGGTCGATCAATATGTAACGTCTATTCCCTTTTTACCACAATATAATTAATTGCGGAATCACTTAACACATACCAAAGAAAAATAAGCATCTTAGATCACCAAATCTAATCATCTTGGAAAACGTAGTACAAAAGTCGAGCAGAGTGTAAAAACTATCCTTTTTTCTTCATGTCATTTAACTGAAATGACGAGAATCATATTAAAAAACGGATGAAAATGATTACAGAAATTTAACGACGTCAATGCTAGACATAGAAAAATTATGTAATTATCGCACGTTAAGATTTATAACCTTGCTACACATAAAGCAAATGAACATATTGAACTGATAAATCACCAGTTACCTCCCTTTAAGATCGAGGACGTATAAAAAGCAACCTGTAAATCCGTCAGTAGACGAGTAGCCAGAGTAAAGTGCAATAAAGCTTTAATATAAGTTTATTCACTGGTTCTGTTTTTGCTACATATACGATGCAATATAATGTGTTTAATAGATGACTTTCAATTGAGTAAATATACTTCAGATTAGTTTAAATCTTTTAAAGCAATTGAATAATTTTTTCCAGATTGTTGTGATGAGATAACCCAACTTCCTCATTCACGATAATGAACGGAGTGGTTGCCGATAAAGTACGACGACCGAATAGTAAGAAAAAAGGTCTTCGTTTGTTAATACCTATTGAGGTTAGCTTACTCCTGACTCTCTCTGTATTTTGACATACCTACATCCGATTATAAAATTATTATTGAAAACCACACTCGGGTTTACTTTGTTTATTATATCTTGCACGAGATATAACACTGATCAAATAGTTTAAAAAATTTTGGAATCGCTCAATTTTTATTTTGACGCTGTTTTGACAATATCGTCGTATTAAATTCAGCAATGAAAACCTACAAGGAAATTCTCCATCTAGTTATCTCTAGTTTTTTCTTAATACCATTTGTCGAATCAGCTTTCCAGGTCAGAACATATTTAATATTTTCTGTTTTTAAATGTCCATGATAAATTAATATTTGGATTGGAATGTAGGCTCTTTGCAATTATTATCATTTAACTGTAGAATAATTTGTACATTAAGATGTCTTTTTAGAAATATAAACTGAAAAGTCATTGCATGTTTTGTACAAACATTGAATGATTCCATAAATTATTCTAATTGGTCTAGAAAAAATATGCCATTAATTTAAATAATTATTTTACACAATTTAATCAAATTTGTATGAGGTGTATTTCCTGGAGATAGACGCTGATTCAGAAATTAAACAAAAAACTGTTTGGCGCCATATCTGTGATTTTTTCGATGAGAAATAATAAAGTGAGTTGTTTTCAAGATTGGAATATTAGTGGTAATATATCAGACGATAATGCCTCAGTGAAAACATAAAGTAATTACCAATTCCTTTTTGGAAGAAAATAATTTTAAATAATATTTCTTGAAATTTGTTAGCAAAAATTGTATAAAAATATTTTGATTTGTGTCATAATGAGAATTTATGAGTTTATAAGGTTATTTTACAGGTTATATTACTTTTTCCTCTTTCTCACCCTCTCTCTTTCTCTCTGTCGTATACACACGAACCTATACAAATAAATACTCACACATATAAACACACATGTCTGTGTCTATGATAACTATGAACACGGCCACTATATATTGGCATTATTTGACAGTTAAAAGTATTATTACATGTCAGCAACAATTAAACTGTTCAAAATATCATTTAGTTACAATTTACAGCAGCACCATCAAAATCCTTGAAAGATTAATCGAAAACTCTGCGAATAACTTACCATTTGGAAAATTTATACTCACCAAGTACAAAAAAAAAGCTTGCGACCATGTTACCTTGAAACAGCGGTTCCCGTATGATCACCGATGTTAAGCAGCGTAGAGTACCAAGATGGGTGACCACTTGGGAATACCAGGTTCTGTAAGCATTGATGTGAGGATGGTGTAACGGATAATGGCTAGGAATTTCATAATTTGAAAGCGTAGTTCGAATTCACATTAGGTTAGTTATATTATTATATTCACTTATCGGTAAATACAGTAAATACATCTTCTAAATCAACTATGGGTTAATTAGTAAGAGGTATCAATAAACCATTATTATCTTTCACCACCCCACGCACTCCACCAAAAAATATTTTACTATTTAAGATAGTTTTTGAATTTAAATAACCTCGAGAAGATAGATAAACCTACAAAATTAATTAATCTATCAAACAAATCCTAAAGAAGAAAGGTGTTATTCACGGATAAGTGAAATATAGTAAAAAAAATCAAGAGGATTAGCTTAACATTTGTGTTTACCGGAAGATATTTTAGAGTAGGATTGCTACTAAAATAGAAAAATACACTTGCATATTATCTGATTGCTTGTCACGCTTGATTGCATTCAATGTTATTTCTCTTTTCGGCTGCTGCTGCTAAAGCCTAGCTGGCGTTTTCTTTATTAACGACTTCCATATCATACTAGGAGGCACGGTGGAGGAATGGATAGCGAAATCGGAGGGCCGAGTTCGAATTCCAGTCGAATCCGTTACATTCACTTACCTGTTAATAATACACTTGGGAAAGTTATGAATCATTTTCTTCTCCCCCAGCTTTATATAGCAGATCGGGTTCTATAGCAATAGATCGCAAATGATCTAAATGCGGGAAAATATCTGCCTCGTCAGTCATGTATCGAAAGATACATGATCGGCCACGCGTGTGTCACGCATGGCGCATAACTGATTGACTGATATCAACCTATACAGCGAGGCACTTATGAGAGAATTGGAGATCCTACTGGGATTCAGCAGTAGCGGCCCCAAACTTAAGATACGCAGACGACACAGTAGTGATAGCAGACACGGAAAAGAAACTACAAAAACTCCTACAGAAGGTAGCGAGGGAGAGCGAGAAGAAGGGACTAACTATAAACTACAAGAAGGCAGAATGGATTCTCATCACTAAAAGGATGATACTGAAATGCGATTTGCAGGTCGCAGACACTAAAATCCAGCTTGTGCAGAAGTTTTATTATGTGAAATGTTTTAACGGCGGACGATACGTTCGACGCTGAAATCCGAAGACGGATTGGCATGGCCAAGGATGTATTCCAAAAGCTGGGCAGAGTACTCAGAGACAGGAGGATTTCTTTGGTGACCAAGAAAAGAGTACTGAGCTGCTACGTGACATCTGTCCTCCTATACGGCAGTGAATGTTGGATGGTCTCCTGAATGATGAAGAAAAGACTCGAGACAGCGGAGATGTGGTTCTACAGAAGGAGGCTAAGGATATCATGGACCGAACGTGTGAGCAAAGATGAGGTCTTGGAGAGTATGCAAACTAGGAGGAAGCTTATACTTAACATAAAAAAGAGGCAGAAGAAATTTACGGGACAGATAATAAGAAAGAAAGACCTGGAGAATCTGATACTCACAGGTCGAATAGAGAGAAAGAGAGACAAGGGAAAACAACACATGACATACCTAACGGCTTTAAGCAAGTGGATGACGGAACGGGATCTGGAGGAGGTGGCAGAGGGAAGGAACTTGTGAGCTGCAAGGGGTAGAGAGAGGTGGAGAGCCATGATCAAGTATGTCATGAAAGGACACGGTTCATAGAAAGAATGAACAGGATCAGCTTAACATTTAGAGCGGGATTGCTACTAAAATAGAAAAATAAACATACATACGTATCATCTGACTGCTTGACACGCTTGATTCCATTCACCATGATTTTTCTTTTCTACTGCTGCTGCTAGAGCCTTGCTGGCGTTTTCTTTATTAACAACTCCTATTTCATACTTATTTATATTCTTTTTGCATGTTGATGTTGAATTTAAATTTCTGGATATTGCAGTTATCAGGGAAGCATGAAAATGGAAGGGAGTTTCGCATGACGGAAGGGCGAGAAAAAATCTGTTAGATTAGAAGAGGCGGTTGCATAAAGCTATTTCAACGAATGAAACGGTCAGACCTAATTGATAACTAGTTTATCACGCTTAATTGTGGTCGGTGAAAATTTACCAAGGATATATTAGTGAAAGTAAAATTCAGCAGTAATTTAAACAAGTAACGAGAATCACAAGCTTTAAAAATATCTCAAGAGGAGATTCGCAGGGCAATTCATCTCTGATTATGAAAAAAAAGGACACGTGTCCCACTGGATAAAGACATTGGTTAGGTCCAGTGATTAGACCCAAAGTTGTGAATTAGGCCACTGTAATAGTGAACCAAATTTTGGCGAGCTGAGTTAAAGACAAATAACTGAGACGTCCGGAAGAGGCATGGCACGGGGAACTAGAACAATCTACCCCGCTGGACGGAATAAACGGTTTGGTTCGAAATTCCAATCACCTGAATAAAGCCGGCGCGTATAACAGACGAAAAGTTGGGAATATATCAATGAAGAAGAGGATAACATCCCGAATAATGTAAATAATGCAATTAATTATAACACCTCATCTCAGAGATATAGACAAGAAAAAAAGGATTGACTAACTAGAAAATAATTAGATATATTGTTGCTAACGTAGACGAAAAGAAAATAAGGCAGAATATTATGAACATTGGGTGAAGACAATGAAAGTGACCTGACTACTTCATATAAAACAAAAAGAAAAGAGTAGAAAGAGTACAAAAATCAGATTTATCAGAATAAACTACAGTGTAACCCGGATATAAGAGAGTTGTCGGAACCGGAGAAGAAGTCTCCTTTATCCGGGTTTCTCTTATATCCCGGTTTTGTCTAATTTATATACATTAACACAGGCAGAATTTGGGACCAGAGAAAATCTCTCTTATATCTGGGTTTCTCTTATATCCGGGTCTCTTATATCCGGGTTACACTGTATTAAAAAATGTAGAGCAACATTGCATGAACCTGATAGCTGAGCACGTGACTAAATCATTCTTGGTAATATTCAACAAGCACAACTCCGAAATAGAAAATGGAGACATGGAAATATGTTTTAGGCTGGTATTGTAGTCAGTAAAGCATGATAGAAAATTGATGGTTAAGTCAAGACAAATGTTTTTTTTTTGTTTGTTTCTTTTTGTAGATAAACGTTTTTAAGTGGTCTCGGTCAAAACCAAAAAGCTAACGATAAATAATGTATGGATGTAAGTCAATTTTTCTTCGCAGACTCAGGGCTGACTGTTGATTCCCTTGCCAACACCGTTCCATAGACATTAAAATAATTGCATTGTAGCTAGTCCTCCAATAGAAAACACACTCCACCATTGATATAGAACAATACGAGAATGGAAAACAATTTTCAAGCCAAGAAAATCTCTGATAAGTAATAAAATAGTCCAAAAGTAATAGCACAACATTTGACAAAATAAATGAAAGCAATATTGATGAATCTATCTTAACAGTTTGAGCCCTGACCACCACTTTACCGATGGTAGAGAAAAATGACATAATGCCCAGCCACCGGTTAAACAGTGGTAGAAAAAAATGAATTACTGCTCAGCCACCAGTTGAACCGTGGGTAAACAGCTATTTTTTTATCTACCATGTGACATTACATACCAATTATTTGCAAATTTTAACTCAAGGGCTCGGGCAGAAGAATTAAAATTGTTCAGGAACGCAGGGTTCAAAGGGTTAAAGAGCACATGTAAATAAATAACCTGTTTACGTGTATGAGATCTTGTGCTAATCAAATGTATATTGGCTTGGCTAATACATGTTAGATTAATTAAAAAAATAATTTTCCTCTTAGAATAATATAGGAAAGTTACTCAAAACAATTTATAATCATTAAATTTTTTTAAAGGTAATTATTGATATTTTCAATTGAATCTTCCAAGATATATTCAGTTTATAAGCAAATACTAGAAACTGGAAATTTTATCAATATTGGCTCATTTATACCAATTTTATTGAAAACATTCGCTTGCATAATTAATTCTAATCAATATGTTTATAAGATTTTAATAATAGTAGCAATAGTAATAATAATAATCATAATATATATATATATATATATATATATATATATATATATACACACACACACACACACACACACATATATATATATATATATATATATATATATATAAAGTCAGAATCTTTGGTGGAACAAGGTACAACTTGTCAAAAGATCTAAATAATCATAAGATAAAGTCTTGAACAAGGACACCAATAAGAAAAAGTAAAATAATAAAAAACTAAAAGTAATATATATATAGTGTGTGTGTGTGTGTGTGTGTATGTGTGTGTGTATACATGTTATGGCATAATATGTATATACAGATATATCAGGTTGGTGCAAAAATAATGTCGTTTTTGACGTTCAACTTCAAAAGATCATAGCTCCTTTCATAATAAACTTTATTAATCGAAATAAGAACTATTAGAATCGACACATTTTTGCCAACGAGAAACAAGTTTATTTATCCCATTAGCATAGAAATCCGGAGTTCTGGAAGCGATGAAGTCATTGAAGGCCGATTCGGCATCATCTCGGCTTTTGAAGCATTTCTCTCTCAGGAAGTTGCCGAGATGCGTGAAAAAGTGATAATCGGTGGACAAGAGGTCCGGTGAATATGGCGGATAAGGCAGAGTCTCGTAGCCCAATTCGTTCAGCTTCTGCAGGGTCAGTTGAGCAAACATGGGGGCGAGCGTTGTCATGGAGGAGAATTGGTCCTTCATATTGACCAATCTCGGGCACATACGTTGGAGCTTCTGGTGCATTTCGTCAATTTGTCGGCAGTACTTCTCCGCCGTAATCGTTTCGCCCGGATTCAAGAAGCTGTGATGAATGAGACAGGCCGCAGACCACCAAACAGTCACCATAACCTTTTTTAGTGCAATTTCGGCTTCGGGAAGTGTTGTAGAGCTTCTCCGGCATCCAACCACTGTGCCGAACGTCGCCGGTTGTCGTAGAGGATCCACTTCTCATCACACGTCACAATCCGCTCGAGAAATG